GCCGCGGCGCTGTTCAGCCGGGAGTGCCGGCCGAGCCCCTCGCAGCTGGGCGCGCTGCGGGTCATGCTGTGGGTCACCACCGCCTACTTCTTCCTGCCCTTTCTGTGCCTCAGCGTCCTCTACGGGCTCATCGGGCGGGAGCTGTGGAGGAGCCAGGGGCCGCTGCGAGGCCCAGCGGCCTCCGGGCGGGAAAAGGGCCACCGGCAGACAGTCCGCGTTCTGCGTAAGTGGCCCCACCTCTGTTCCAAACACCCCAACCCGCTAGTCTCCCGGCCCCTAGCGCCTTCTCTAGCTGTGTCCCCAGGGCGTTCCTGAGGGTAGGATACCCCGGTCCCGAAAACACTAGTGATTTTCCGCGGGGATTGGTGAGCCGGGCTGATCCAGGACAGGTAATAATTGGAGGCTCTGCTAGATGCCGCAGGTGTGGATTCTCACAGCATCTTTGAGAAGATAGGGTAGAACACAAGCTAAAATCTCTTTACTTAATGCTGAGTTTTCCTGAAGGTTAAAGTGAACCATGCCCATAACAAAAAAATAAAAGATTGTGCAGACCCCTTGCAGAATTCTTTTCAACGGAAAGCAGAGAACATGTCTCTGAGTGACTATGTGGAAGGAAGCCTGCCGGCTTGTTAGTACAAACTGCACCTTTCGCTTTATGTCCAGCCTTGTAGCACATACACGGATGGGCAAAAGTAGGTTTGCAGCATGGCAGTCAATTGATTACCTAAAGAACTCTGTGGCAAAGTGTGCTTGAGTATAGCAAGTAGACTATAGGAATGTGTAAATAATGAAGGCCAGCAATTTGAGCACTTAATGAAATTGTACCTAAGTGCACTGTGCGGTTGTGACATTCTTTTGAGTTAATAAAACTATCGTAATAATTATAACCTGCATGTCTTTTTCCATACAACAACTGTAAACCTACTTTTGCCCACCCCTGTATCTGAGCCAAATGTACAGTTTTAAAGCGGATACAGATGGGCTGGGGATTCGGCTAGATCAAGGTTTTATCTAATTTGTTTTGCTGTTATTACTTCCGGTGGTCTCTCGGGGATCCTTATTTGTTTTTGGATGCTTTAGCTAATTCTGGTGCCTGTGTCTTGTTTTGCAGTGGTGGTGGTTCTGTCATTTATAGTTTGCTGGTTGCCTTTCCATGTTGGCAGAATCATTTACATAAATACAGAAGATTCTCAGATGATGTACTTCTCTCAGTACTTTAACATTGTTGCATTGCAACTTTTCTATCTAAGTGCATCCATTAACCCAATCCTCTACAACCTCATTTCAAAGAAGTATAGAGCTGCGGCCTGGAAACTACTGCGAGCAAGACAACCGGCACAGAGAGGTGTCTGTAGAAACAGAAACACAGAGGGGACTACAGGAGGAGACACCGCTGGCTACACCGAGACCAGCGCTAGGCTACCAACTCCTGCCACCAGCATGGCCAAGCAAATCACCTCCTCCCACAGTTCTGGGACTTCAGAGAAAACAGGTCTGTAGGGCAATAAGGACTAAAAGAGGAAACTGACGCTGTTAAGAAGAATTAGAGTAACTTTGTCAGCATGATGTTTTTTCAATCAAGGTACGAAAAGTAAGTGTACTAATCTTTCTAGTTTTCCTTTCATGTACCTCCTCAGAGACATTCATTTTAGCCTCATGCAATCCCACACCACAAAATGTGCTCTTAGGAGGTTCCACAAGTCTTCATTCTCCTAGTCTTTGGAAATAGGATTGCTCATTTTCCAGTTAATAAGGTACAGAGAGATGATGGGATAAAAATGGTTGCCTTTGAGATCAAAAGTGTATTTTTTTTTATGTTTTGTATATAAATGTAATGGTGCATATACAAGGAACCTTGGATAATGACAGCATTGATTCAAGAAATTATTTAATGCCTATTTATGGCAGCAAAAATTTTTTAAAGCAAGTAAAAGGAATTCTGGGCTGAGTCCAATGTTCAGAGTCCTATCTCCTGGCTCAAAGAAAATCATAAAGTTTAGGCACAATACCTTCCTGCTGGACTACTGTGCATAAGCCAATTGTGTTGCAAACTTCTTCTCCCTGAGACAGCCATGGGGCTTTCCCAGTGCCATTGGCCAGGAGGTAGCAAACTCAGGCACTGAAGCCTGAGGGTAGGAAGGTAGAGCAGGACCTGACTTCTGGACATTTATAAAGAGCTTTAGTACGTCTTAGTCACCTCAGGTTGGTGACTAAGTGTTGTCATCATTACTGTTTTAACAGTGATGAAACTGGGCCTTAGATTTCCCAATTAGGAACTGATGGGTCTGAGTAAGAACTCCAGGGAGTCTTTAAGATCTTTTTTTAAAAAAATAAAATAAAACAATAATAATTTTACAATTCATTTAACAGCAACTGGTAATCCTGAAATTAGCAGTGGTTATCTTATTGTACTAGCTGTGCTGTCATTACCTGAGGTTGATCAAACTCACCTAGAGTCAGACATTTCCCACTTAAGATGCATCATATAAATCGGACTTGGTTTATCACCAGCATTTATAAAACCAGACCTAAGGAAAGAACTGGGGACACATGCATGTTTTTAATATAGCGAATGTTTAGCCTGATCATTACAAAATCAGAGCGCGAGAATATTCTTAGTCTTTAAGATCTTTACCCACTCCCACCCCAAGCTGCTTTTAGTGAAAAACACGAGTCAGTGGATGTATTCAAGGGTGAAAAAGAATGTATTGGACATTCTGACCAACAACTCTGTAACTCTGTTTTGTTTTTTACGGTTTAAAACATAAACCTGTTCCCTGAGGCCCTCATTCTTGATGAGGTCTGCGTGAATGGTGCCCCCTGGAGGTGAGAGGGCACTACTTGCTTGGTCCTAAATTGCAACCAAGTGAATCCATAAACAAGGGTTGCTCAACACGCTGGCAAAGTTCTGCTGCTTTGTCACTTGATTAGCCAAGTACAGTGATGCCTTCAAGTCCACTTGAAGTATCCTAACTCCCTGACCTTGCCCTTCCCTGGATCAGCAGTGAAGTCTCTCCTCTACCATGTGTTTCTTCCAGCTAGTGGAAGAAGCAGACGGCAGCTACTTGGGGCAGCAGTCCCTAAACTCTGTTCTGCAGATTTTCAAGGATTGTTTGAAAGCATTCTTTCTGCTCACAGAGTTCCTGTCTGGGCAGTCAGAAGTGGCTTCTTCCCTGTGGAAGGTCATGGTTAAGAACCTTACTGGTTTTATTTACAGTATAATATTTTAGGTATAGAAGCAAAGACCTTGCCTTGGAGCTTTCTCGTTCAGATTCTAGAAAAGGATTTACATCACACTCTCCTGTGATCTAAGAGTGTTCCCAGGCGTGGGCATGGGCGAGGATCACTCTTCCTTTGCTGCAGGGTCCCTGAAATGGAGTGCCTGCGCCCATCCTTCCAGTGCATCACTGTGCTGTTGTTTTCAAAATGCTCCTCTCGCCCATTAGTGGATTGTGAAATCAGTGGAGTGGGTCACATTTTTCTTTAATGGAAAGGAGTGGGCAAGAGTAGAATTGAGAAATCAGTATGGCCCATATAGTAAGGGAAACTGCTGTATTGTGAAACTTTTGTTCGTATTATATGTTGGTTGGTGTCTTTTCTGGTTCACAAAATAAAACGTTTTCCTACTGTGGGTCATGGTCATAAATATTTGAAAAATTGTTCTAAAATCTGAAATTGTTCTCTACCCCAGCAGAGAGGGTCCTTCTCCTAAATTATAGGAGGGCTGTCCTGGAAGACCCAGGGTGGTCGAGTCAGGGACCACTGGAGAGGGCCAGCGGGGTGTGGGTTTCCGTCCTGGGCCTTCCTCCACCCTGGGGCCATGTCACAGAGGCTGTGCCCCAGGATCTCTCCCTGCCCCTGGACAGAGCTCTGTACTGCTGTCCCTATGAGGTACTCTGAGCCTCCTCTCCCTTCTGCAGGCCACACTATTTGTGTTGGGTGAGGCACCAACCTTGGGGAAAGGTTTTTGTTTCATTCAATCAACTGTCAAATATTTACCAAGTAACTGCTAAGTGCTGGATGTGTATGGCAAAGTACACTAGAAAAATTAGCTCATGGCATGTGTCCAAATCAATCAACTTTTTAATGCATTCTTTTGGTTTGAAGTGTGTGATTGTGTCTTCTTAACTAAGCACAGACTCAGCTCACAGGTTAATAAAAGCACTTTCATCAGATGGACCTGCCAGATATCAGGTTAGTATCATCCACACAGACATGCCTGGTCTTTTCTATATGAGATATTTTCACTTCTGAAGGAAATGTTCAAAGAAGCTATTGCACAGCACCTCCTAGGAACCCAAACCCCCCTGCACCAGGTCCTCAAGGGCACATAAGAGCAACATGTTAATGATGTTTAAAGTTTGAACGTGGCCCTTCCTGGCCATTTCTACTCACTTAGCAGTAACATTTGCCAGAATGTGGAAGCTTTTTGTATAAAAGTGATAGTGATTGAACAGGTCAAGTGGAGTTTTAAAACAGCTTTTTTTAAACATAGGTGTGAAGCAATTTTTAATTGTGAGCCAACTTTCTAAAGATTCTGATCTCTAATATTACATAGACCCTGGTCAGCTCTGAGCCACCTTAAAATATCAGCATTTCTTCTCCTGGGAGCACAGGAACATTTGTCATTGAGCAAGCATAAGCTCCAGGGCATGCTTTGTGCCCTCTCAGTGTGTCCCTGGCTGTGTAAGCTATAAGGAAGGGGCAGAGACGGACTCTACTTGCCAACTTCTTAGGAAAAGAGCACTCTTCTTTTGAAGAATAATGAACTGTGTAAATTTAAGGGCTAAAAAGTGCCAGCCAGCAGACTGAGTATGGCTGGAATCTCTTCCATGGCACTTAGCATGTTACATGGCGGTGGCTAGTTCCCAGTATTTGTAACTTGCTCCCTAAGGACAGACTGTGTTTTATTCCCCCTTGGTGTCTCTTGCCCAGATAGACAATGTGTGTTGAACTCAGTTGGCTTCAAGGGAGGGGACAGAAATCTGCACCCCAGTGGACTGACAGATGGAGGCTGAGCTAGCAGATGACTGATTCTAATCTACTGGCCAGCCCAAGGGAAAGCACAAGACAGGAGCAAAAGTTCACACACAGGGAGAGGATGCTGAAGGGAGTAGAGGAAGGGCCTTAGAGAAAACGGAGAGGGGAAAGGCAAGGGCACCTTGTGTAACCAGGAGCTGGAGCCTGCAAAACACCTCACCGTAGTGGGGAACAGCCTGTGCCTGGGAGGCCAGACAGGACCAGTTATTTGCTGTAATCCAGGCATGGGGAACTCATGGGTTAGTGTGGTGACACTGGAGCAAAAACACTCCCACATTCAACACCTCCCCTCGCCAAGACCTCTGGCAGGGTAGTGGCCTCAGAGCAGTGGCCCCTTTCCTCATCCTTGATCCCCAGCCCCAGGGACTCTCGCTTCATCTGTACCAAGGCCACAGTTTGTCATCTCTTTCCTCTCACCTTTGCAGTGAGTATGCAAGTTACAAAATGTTCTAAGAAGTTCTACTTGTGATATGAAGGAGATAAAAAATTGTTAAGCAAATATGTGCTGATTTCAAGATTACAGTGTCTTAATTTTATTGTAATGGTTATCCCTGTTCATAACAGGAACATAAATGTCGCCAAATGTGAGCTTTTGTTTCTCTTACTCCCACAATAATTCATTACTTTGTCCTTATAGTAGATGTCAGCTCCCTTCCCTCTGGATTTCTCAAATTCTCTAGAGCAGCGATTTTCAACCAATGTGCTGCATGAGTTTTAAAACACGTAGTACCTGACTAGTCAGGGGCATTGACCTTTTTTCCCTTAGACTGTCAAATAAAAAAATGACAACAGCCAACACAGCAATAATCATCTGGTGTGGACTAATTAAAATTATACCTATTTTTTGGTCAGATCTGCAAAAAAAATATTTTTTGGTGTGCCACAGAACTTTAGAAATTAGTTTATGTGTGCCATTAGATGAAAAAGGTTGCTCTAGAGCATACATAAGAATCACCTGGAAGGTGGGTTAAAACACAGATTGCTGGGTTCCACTATGAAGGTGAGACTGTTCTATGACACGACCACCACCTATCCCACAAGTTGGACCCGACCCAGAACGGAGGTGGTTTTCTGCAAACCTCCTTAGAGATGGCCTGATGGTAACTCATGTTCATTCTGACATAAATAAGCATCCTTCCCCTGCCCCCTGCCCTCTGCCCCCTGCCCCCTGCCCCTTGCCATGTGCTGGTTCCTGGAACAGGTTGTTGTCCTGACCTGGTCAAGCATGTAATTTCCATACCTGGTGGCACTCACATACTTTTACCCATGACTATCCACCCCTTTACCTTATAGAATTCTCTGGTGCCTGCCGAGTAGCGAGGGGATCCATTTTGTACTGTAGTTGCCCAGGACACACCTCATATAAGTTTCCCTTAATAAACTGTATCAGTTACTAGACTGGAGTGACCAGTCTCTTTCTTCAGTCTTTCCCTGCTCTCCACTTCCAGAGGTAGATTTTCAGTCTCAGGTTTTTTCCTTGGGTCTTGCTGTATGAACATCCACTCCCAGAGGTTCTGATTCAGAGGGTCTGGGTTGGGGCCCTAGAATGTGCATTTCTCTCCAGTGTCCAGTGATGCTGATTCTGATGGTCTGGAGACCACCCTCTGAGAACCTCTAGTGTACATTGTTGCTTTAGAAAATGCAAACCACAGACCAGTGGCATTAGCATCACCTGGGAATCTTGTTAAAATGCAGATTTTCAGGTCCCAAACCTTTGGAATCAGAATCTGCATTTTTAACAAGATCCCCAGGTCATTCCAAAGCACATTAATATTTGAGTCATTAAACTGGAGACAAGATCAATGCCATCTGAATCTCTGGGGGTTTGACCCAGATGTATTTTTTAAAAGCTTCGCAGTCTCTTTCTTTCCCATCCCACCCCACTCCCCCTTCCCACGACTTTCCTTCCTTTCCCTGTTTACCCAGGGATAAAGGAAGAGATACAAAGATAGTAAACAAAGATCTAAATGTGGGTTTGGGTGGTGGATTCATGTAAAAGTCACTTATGTTCTAGCAGAAACTCATAACCGTGATCCAATAATGACTCCCTGGTTCTTTAGCCCTTCAGTCCCCTTAATCTCTACCTGTGGGAGCAGTCCGGCCACGGCCAGTGCTGACTGAGGTCATTCTGCCCCAAGGTTTCTAATCGCGCATTTCAACAACTAAGCTTCCACCACATCTCCTGCTCTTCAAAACATGTCCTGTTTCACTTATTCGATACCTGATTTGGTTCCTTGACCTCTTCTTCATCTTCCACCACAGACCTACTCAGCTCTTCAGCGCCCTTGTGGGGTCTTGGGTCCTATCCCTGATTCCTTGACCCCATGTCACCTGTGGCCTTGCGGGTAGCTCTGGAGCATTTCACCTGCTGTCCCAGACTTCCGCCTGCTGCTAGTTGCTGAGATCAGCCAGAATTGCCTTTCAGGCCGATGGACTGGTCTCCAGGTCCCAGTGAAGGGGTGCCTCCTGAGTCTTGACTCTGATAAGCCACAACAGCAGCTTGGCGCTCTAAAGTCATCTCGGGTCTCTGACCTTTCAACACTGAGTCCCTAAAACTCAGAGGCTGATTGGATATGAGAGAAGAGGAAGTCATAACTCCAATATTTTAAGCCTATGTAACTAGAAAATTAGTGCTATTTGAAAGAAATAGGCTGTCAGAGGTAGGGATGATTTAGCAGGGGATGATAATGAATTCCATTTTGATTACTCTGTTTCCAATGAAGCCATACATCTGTTATTGCATTTCCACAACCTCCTGGAAATAGGTCCCAATGGTCAGATAATTTTAAGAAATGCTGCAATGCCATGTAAACTCCTTTTGGCCACAGAGCTTGTTTTTTTTTCTTTTCGTTCATATATTAACATTCCACAGAACATTCCAGTTTGAAATACTAGAAGAAAGTTTGAGTGTGAAATCTAGGCTAATAAGATTTGGGAGTCAACAGCATATAAGTGATCATTTAAACCAGTGGTTCTCAAACTTGATCTTGCATCTGAAACCACTGAAGTGCTTCTTAAAATACAAACTGCTGAGCCCCACCCCAGAAGACCTGATTCTGTAGGTCTGGGTTGGGGCCTGAGAATTTGCATTTCTGTATAGTTTCCAGGAAGTGCTGCTGCTGCTAGTCCAGGACCACATTTTAAGAACCCCACTCAGCCAACCCCAGATGTCTCAGTTCGTTGGAGCGTCATCCCATACACCAAAAGGTGGCAAGTTCGGTTCTCAAGGCACATACTCAGGTTGTGGGTTTGGAAAAAGGGTACTGGGTGTCTCCCAAGAAAGCCCAACTATCTACTCCCCAGGTCACTTACCTAGGACTAGCCCTATCTCCTCGACACAGGGCTATTACACTAGACAGGAAGGAACTCATAGCCTCCCTTCCCCCTCTCCTCCAAACACGACCTTCTATCCTTCTTAGGACTTGTAGGTTACTTCTGCATATGGGTCTCTAACTTCAGCATCCTGGCCAAACCCCTCTACCAGGTCACACAGGGACCCCTAACAGAACCTTCAGATCCAGCCATTAATATCAAGCCCCATATCCAGAAACTCCAACTGGCCCTTATATAGGCTCCGGCTCTCTCCCTACC